GGGCAAACAATACCATTCTGATCAGCGTATCAAGACTCATCAGATGGGAAATGCATAAACCACCAGAGCATCAGTCGAAAGCCGAGATGCTCACATGCGCGCTGGACGGCGAGATGTGCTCACACTGCATAATCATGGTGCGATTGTGAGCCGGCAGAAAGATGCTGTCACGACATCACCTCTCCCACAATCCCCCGGCTTTATGAAGTCATTTCAGCCAACTTCCAATACAGGAAAAGAGTCTCATCACTCATAATTATTTATCGATACTGTGACATACTTTTCTCATCACAGGCCGCATCCATGTGTGAAATAGCAGCGTGCAACTGGGAGATTATTACCTGTGTGATTGTGATAGGCTCCCTGTGTGCTTGGGATAATCAGCAAGGCACTGCCACAGACAAGGCTGCCAATCAATGCGGCACTGAATCAACTCAACTCCTTCCCCCAATCACATGGGTGTTGCATCTAGATCTGGGTAAGTTGGCATACCATCTTACATGCAAACTGCATTGCCAGCACCCATCGCTTCCACAATAGAAAATGTGCGTTTATGTTAATCCTTATGTCGGATGCCAGGCAAGCACGAATAGAAAGCTATTGTATGGCTATTCAGTCCTAGAATGCAGAGTATAATATAGTGAACAGCTCGCACGAGAGGTCAGACACCATCAAGCACTCTTGTATATGCTGTCTATATGTACACAAAGCACATATCCTCTGCAAGTCGACTCCTCCATACTGGGCCAAGATGCTCAAAGTTAATTGAAAACTAAAATAAATAATCAAATTTAAGGCTTAAATGTGCATTTTAGCACACGCAAAGGAAGCTTGCACATAGGACCGTGGTGGTGTTATCCTCCAAAGTCCATGACATGGTTTAACAGTCTCATAGAATTTATAAAACGCCCCTGAAGGCCCACATAATCTCTCCTTTTTTCCGCTTAATGGGAGATAATACAGGAGCGTACCCTGATGAATCAACACGCAACAGCAGCTTTAGTTTGATAATTAATACCGACGTTGGAAATAGATTTGTGATTTGGCAGCGAAGGTCTCTCAGTCTGATACGGCACAAGCCAAGCCCCCGTTCCAGCCGGATCTGCATCCATTCAGCTAATCTCATTTTTTCAATAGTGTTAATTCTTTGACTAAAGCCTGTTATCTCATTAAGAGCCCTGCCATGGGATCCGATGGCACCCTGACATCTGTATTCATTCGCCTCAAAATTAGTCCTGACACAAATTTAATGAAAAAAATTTCTCCAAACACAGGAGATTAGAAGACGGGCCAGGAATATCAGAAAAATTCCTTTCTATAGAAAGGGTTGATATTCTATTTTTTTCCTTCAGAGGTGGTTTAATAACATTTTCATGCTGCCTCTGTATTCAGTTGTTTCATTAAAACATTGTGTGTATTGAGGTCAGACGTAAATCCCTCCTTCTAAGATCCTTAAATCTTGAAGCTGAACTGGTCTTTTCTACTGCAAGTTTGAGATTCTTCATGTCAGTCTCCGATTCAATGATCAATGACATATTTGATTAGACTGTCGCCTCACTTTCTTTATTAATCTCGTGACCAAAACAATTCCAGACAAAAGAGGCGGATACTCAGTAAAATCCCTCTTCATCAGGGACCTTACTTCTTCTTCATTCTTCACACCTCCTTCTCCCATCAGTCCCTGCTGCACGAGTACCAGCACTGATAATTCTCTGCTTGAAAAAAGACATGAAAGCATTCATGGATGAAAGAAACTTGGATTTAATCTTTCTCTCGCTCACACTTCCAGTACACTGTGTCGATCATTTTTCTCAGGAAGACTGTGGAGAGGCTGAAAGGGGGAGGACAGAAGAAAAGAGAGGATGGGTGCAAACTCATTCTGATCATTAGTGAGAAGAAATAAGTTTTCTAGCCCTAATGTGTATGGTGATAAATAAGAGTGTCTGTGATAATGAAATGAAAAACTTCTTTAAAATGTACTATTTGAAATGAAAAACTTTGAAAAGTTTACATTCAATGACTCTAAAATGGCACGTGGTGCAACCATTAGTTGTGCAACCAAATTAATTACATGTTTGCTTACATCTTGCGAGTGTACACATCTTAAATATTTTAAGTATTTTTACAAATATCTTGAATTATTAATACATAACAGTCACACCTTGCCTCAAAATGGTCATATTATTTGATATTTTAAGAGACTTACTGACCTTGACAAAACATTCATGAGGGTCGTCAGGAGTCCTTCTAATGATATAATTTTGATGTTTTTTTAAATATTAATAAGCAAAAAACTAAGTTTTGTTAAAATAATTTTTTTCCTGAGAAATAATAATTTGCCAATCGGTGCCGATCGAGTCGAGTCCCGGCTCGTGGACCTTTTCCGATCCTCAAAATAAAAGGCGAAAATATTATAATTTTTTTTAAAATAAAATAACATTTGAAAATATATAATCATAGTAAAAAAGTTTGTTTACAAGTGTTTCATTCTTTAAATTAGGCTTTCTCTTCATTAATGTCTATAAATTAAAAACATAAAAGGTGTATTAAAGTAATTGTATGTATGAATTGCATAATTTATTTATTTTCGAATAGATTAAGTCATGTCATTAACTCTTACAAACTGACAATAAACCATCAGCACCACTACAGCTGTTGCATCCATATTTATTTCTAATCTCCTAAATTTGGGAATGTTTGGAAATAAATTTTAGTAACATTTGGGGCCTAATGGTAATAACCAAGTGAGATTATAGAAATAAGAGGAGAGATTTGAGCAGACTTTTCAAATTCAAATGATTAGAAGACAAACAGATAAGGAAAAATTAAACAAAGAAAGTACAATATGATGCACTACATACAGTATGTAAATATTATCTCTCCTAAAAAGAGTAGCGGGCAGCACTGGCGGGGTAAAAGAGAGGAGGGTCTGCCAGGCTCAGTGCCAAAGATGGACAGGGGTTTGTTCAACACCTCAGCATGTGTGACATGTCTAACAGTGGCATGCTGATCTCTCCGATCCTCATTAACCTGCCTCAGAGCAGAGAGGGGAAGCATGGGGCACAGGGGCGCACAGCAATCACAGAACTCATTATGGACCCTAAAAGTGTTGGCCAGAGTGAGTGCGCAAAAGAGAGAGAGAAACAGAGAATAGCCAAAGGAATGAGAGAGCTGGCTGGCATCTTTGGAAAATTAAAGAACAGCCTTTTGCTGAAGAGTTCTCTGTAAATGAGATATAAGTGGGATTCACACAATGCAGAAGACGTTCACAGCACTGCCGATTGTGGCCCCAGAATTTGATTCAAATCAACTGTCTGTTTTCATCCCTGAAAATATAAAAGCAGTCATCCAATGCCCTCTCCAGAGACAACATGCCAGGCCCCAGGCCCTTTGAGCAAAAGCCCAGACAAAGCATCATCTCAGAATATGACCTCCGGAGGGCCTACTCATAAACAGGCAGCACTCAAAGGAAGAAGGGAGCATAATTGTGGAGGGGGCAGTGGTCCAACACCAGGTCCCCTGGTTGAGAGGTCTTGAATCCAGAAAGAGTAATTTTCTCTTCTTGGCTAGCATGTGTATGAGGTAATTGTGCCCCCTGGGTGTGTCCTCTAGATAAATAGTATGATCCAAAAAATGAGAGCCATGTATACAAGCGGTCTTTGGACTTTGGCCTGCATTGAATAAAATCATATGGAGTGCAGTTTAAAGTTAATTGTCACAATAAAATGTCATATGGTGTAACCATCAAGAATAACATAATGGCATATTTCCTTACACCTTGAATATATGTGAGTGTACGCATCTTAATACTTTTTTTTTTTTTTTTTTTTTTTTTTAAATAAAAAGTTTTTTTTAAA